GGGTCAGTAGGGGGCCCCATGAGATGCCTCTGGTACCTTTTTCATAGGCTTTTTTGAGTTTGGGCAAGGACACAGGGGCCCCATGATCCCCTATTGCCCTGGGGCCCCATGAGTTGTCAGTCCGCCCCTGGTTGTTGCAGAAAATGGTGTATGTCTGTTTTTTGTTTAATCCATTAGCAGCACACTCATTTGTACAGGAGTGGAATTACATTTTGGCCGTATAGACTTTTAAATTGGAGAGTCTGAAAAATGCAGTTACAGCCTCTGTCTAAGGCCCTGGAGCCCAATCTGCCATCTGGGGGCCACATGTGGCCCTTTGGCAATTTGGGGGCTCCTGCAGATTCTAGTATTTCCTATTGCCCTGTTATAGCAGAGATTTCCTACAGTTTCATGTAATGTATCAAGTCAATAATTCTCTCCTGAAGCATGTCTCCAGTCTCCAACAACTCCTATAGCATGTTCACAGTCTCTGACCACCTCTTGTATCAAGTCCGCAGTCTCTGACCACCTCTTGTATCAAGTCCGCAGTCTCTGACCACCTCTTGTATCAAGTCCGCAGTCTCTGACCACCTATTGTATCAAGTCCGCAGTCTCTGACCACCTCCTTGTATCAAGTCCGCAGTCTCTGACCACCTATTGTATCAAATCCGCAGTCTCTGACCACCTCTTGTATCAATTTTGCAGTCTCTGACCACCTCTTGTATCAAGTCCGCAGTCTCTGACCACCTATTGTATCAAGTCCGCAGTCTCTGACCACCTATTGTATCAAGTCCGCAGTCTCTGACCACCTCCTTGTATCAAGTCCGCAGTCTCTGACCACCTATTGTATCAAATCCGCAGTCTCTGACCACCTCTTGTATCAGGTCCGCAGTCTCTGACCACCTCTTGTATCAAGTCCGCAGTCTCTGTCCACCTCTTGTATCAAGTCCGCAGTCTCTGTCCACCTCTTGTATCAAGTCCGCAGTCTCTGACCACCTCTTGTATCAAGTCCGCAGTCTCTGACCACCTCTTGTATCAAGTCCGCAGTCTCTGACCACCTCTTGTATCAAGTCCGCAGTCTCTGACCACCTCTTGTATCAAGTCCGCAGTCTCTGACCACCTATTGTATCAAGTCCGCAGTCTCTGACCACCTCTTGTATCTAGTCCGCAGTCTCTGACCACCTCTTGTATCAAGTCCGCAGTCTCTGACCACCTCTTGTATCAAGTCCGCAGTCTCTGACCACCTCTTGTATCAAGTCCGCAGTCTCTGACCACCTCTTGTATCAAGTCCGCAGTCCGAACGCACAGATTCAAATGCACAGCCTCTGCACTCAGATCCATTCCACTACCCTACCTAGCCACCAGTGACTCTGCACAGAGGACAGAACTAATCACTGGTGTGAATGAGCTCTTAGGCTGGGTTCACAATATGAATGTGCATGTAAATCACAGGCATTCTTGCATGCACCAGCAATACGCTCTGGTCTTTAGCAGATGTGCCCCCCCCCCTCCCCCACACACATACATCTGAAAACACAGCACTATCCTTGCAGTAGTGGGAGTTATTCAAATTAATGGGGTTCGCAAACGCAGCATGCAGTGAATGCATAGATGAGAACCTGGTCAAAGGGGCCAAAAATCTGAGCTTTTGCCTCAAGAAACCGCTGGTACTTTTTCAAACTACTCATAACAGAACACTCAGGAAGGGGGGGGGGGGGGGGATGTGGGCATTGATAAACATTTCAGCTCCAGAATGTTTTACCCCCTTCATGACCAGGTCATTTTCTGCTACTGCCCTACTTTAACTGGTAATTGCGTGGTCATGCGTGTACCCAAACAAAATGTATATCATTTTTTTTTCACAAAAATAGAATTTTCTTTTGGTGGTATTTGATCACCACTGCATTTTTTATTATATAAACAAAAAAAAACAACACTTTTAAAAAATATATATTTTTCTGATATAAAACATCCAATAAAAAAAAAAAAAAAAAAATCAAATTTCTTCATAAATTTAGGCCAAAATGTATTCTGCTCTATGTCTTTGGTAAAAAAAAAAAAAACCCAATAAGTGTATATTGTTTGTTTTATGTGAAAGTTATAGTGTCTACAAACTATGGTATATATACTGGAATTTTTATTTATTATTTTTATACTACTAATGGCAGTTATCAGCGACTTATAGTGGGACTGTGCGGTTGGCAATCTGACACTTGGTGGGAACTGACTAACGGACACTGACATCTCCAGTGACACTAATACAGTGTTAAGTGTGTGCCTAGTTTTAATGTGTGTATTATGTGTTGCGTTTTACTAAACAAACTGTTTCTTCTCCCTACTTTGCAGGGAGAAGAAACAAAGAGATATTTCCCTTTTTACAGAGCCTTGTGTTGATTGTCAACACAGGTTCTGGGCTGTGATTGGACACAGCCGATCAGCAGGTCCTGGCCATGAGTGATTGACTGGGGCCTGCTGATGTGGGGTTCTGGTATGAGCTGGTATTATTATTTGCTGGCGCCATCTTGCTAGCATCTGCGTCGAAGTGGAGCTCTGTGCCCTTTACTGATCCAGCCATGGGCCCATCCATCTGGTCCGTCAAGAGTCACTCTTATCTCATCAGTCCATTAACCTTTGAAAAATCTGTCTTCAGATATTTCTTGGCCCAGTCTTGACGTTTCAACCTATGTGTTTTGTTCATCATTGGTGGTCAGGTTTCAGCCTTCATTACCTTGGCCATGTCTATGAGCACTGCACACCTTGTACTTCCGGGCACTCCAGGTAGGTTGCAGTTCTGGAATATGACAACACTGGAGGGTAATGGGTTCCTGTTAGCTTCACGTTTGATTCTTCTTAAATCTTTGGCAATTAATTTGCGTCTTTCTTTCTAAACATGTTTCTTGCAACCCTGTTGACTATTTGCAACAAACCGTTTGATGGTTCTGTGATCACACTCCAATATCTTAGCAATTTCAAGAGTGCTGCATCTCTCTGAAAGACTTTTTTTTTTTTTACAATTTTTGACTTTTTTAGAGTCAGTTAAATCCTTTTTTGGCCCATTTTGCCTGAGGAAAAAAAGCTGCCTAATAATTATGCCCACCTTGATATAGAGTGTTGATCTCCATGGCACACCCTCCTTCATTACACAAATACACATCACCTGATATGGTAAAATCCAATAAGCATTCAAGTTTATACAGCTTGGAGTTGAACAATATGGATAAAAAGGAAGATTTGTTCACAAAATTCACTTGCCTAATAATTGTGCACACAGTGGAGTTTATTTACTAAAGCTGGTTCACTCAGAATCTGGTGCAGCTCTGGATGGTAGCCAATCATCTGCTAACCTCAGCTTGTTCAATTAGGCTTTAGCAATAAAACCTGGAAGCTGATATATATAGTGCCATGTTCAACACCACCAATTACTAGGAACATCATGGCTCCAGATGACAGCCCGCTGCCATCCACACCATCAAAAGTAGAGGGCATTGAGGGGATCAGGAGGGCAGCAAAATAACAAAACAGCAAAAAAGGTAGAAAGATGCAAGGGACAGGTTTTACAATGGGAGCAGAGCAACCTTTTTTGAGGTTTGTGCTTATCCATCAGCAACAGCACCGCCATCTGTGTGTGCTATGGAGGAACCTAAGGGGAAGTGGTGGAAGGATTCCATCAGAACAATTCTGAGCAATCTCCAGAGAAACCACTAAGCTGGTATGTGACAGTTAGCAACAGAAGGAAGGCTGATCGCTTCTTCAGAGAAAGATTTATCTCAGCAAACTGGAAGCTCCAGTGATATGCCTCAAAACATAACTTGTCGGTAAGTATGACAACACTTCATACTGACTCTAGGCAACATTGTTTAACTAGAGAAAGAGTCAAAGCCAGGCAGATGATGGTAAAAAATGCAACAGGAGGTTGAAACACTGATCACAAAGTACAGTATAAGGTGGCATTAACATGGAATAAACTATATAGCCTACAAAATCAAGGTGTTTTGGATTAGAGAATGTCCCTTAACATTCTCTAACGGTGTAGATTTTTTCACCCTGCCTGAGGTCATCACAGAGGACAAGGGGGCACTCTTTACGTCTGGAGGAAAAGAAGTCTAATCTCCAAATACGGAAAGGTTTCTTCACACTAAGAGCTGAGAAAATGTGAAATAGACTTCCTCAAGAGTTAAATCTAGCCAGCTCAGTGGATTGCTTTTAAAAAAAGGCCTGGATTCTTTCTTGGATACACAGAATATAACTGGTTACTAACATTTATAGGTTAAGTTGACCCAGGGAATGTTCGATTGTCTCTCGGGACATCAGGAAGGAATTTTTTCCCCTGCAGGAGCAAATTGGATCATGCTGTGCTGGTATTTTTGCCTTCCTCTGGATCAACTGTGGGTGTAGGATTTTTTTTTTTTTTTTTTTTTTTTTACGGTTGAACTGGATGGACTTTTGTCTTTTTTCAGCCAGACTAACTATGTAACCTATATTCTGCTGAATCTAAAATCATATCACCTAAAATGAAGGCATATACCGTATTTTTCGCTGCATAAGACATACCTGACCATAAGACGAACCTAGGTTTTAGAGGTGAAAAACAAGTAAAAAAAATATTCTGAACCAATGGACTGCAGACCTAGTATGGAAAATGACCAGAGACTGCAGACACAGTACAGGAGATGACCAGAGACTGCGGACACAGTACAGGAGATGACCAGAGACTGCGGACACAGTACAGGAGATAACCATAGACTGTGGACACAGTACAGGGGATGACCAGAGACTGCGGACACAGTACAGGGGATGACCAGAGACTGCGGACACAGTACAGGAGATGACCAGAGACTGCGGACACAGTACAGGAGATGACCAGAGACTGCGGACACAGTACAGGGAGATAACCATAGACTGTGGACACAGTACAGGGGATGACCAGAGACTGCGGACACAGTACAGGAGATGACCAGAGACTGCGGACACAGTACAGGAGATGACCAGAGACTGCGGACACAGTACAGGAGATGACCAGAGACTGCGGACACAGTACAGGGGATGACCAGAGACTGCGGACACAGTACAGGGGATGACCAGAGACTGCGGACACAGTACAGGGGATGACCAGAGACTGCGGACACAGTACAGGGGATGACCAGAGACTGCGGACACAGTACAGGGGATGACCAGAGACTGCGGACACAGTACAGGGGATGACCAGAGACTGCGGACACAGTACAGGGGATGACCAAGAGACTGCGGACACAGTACAGGGGATGACCAAGAGACTGCAGACAGTAAAGGAGATGACCAGAGACTGTGGACCTTTGGGCAGGGAGGGGGAGCGGGTATCTGAATTTGACAGGTACCCACTTCCACGGAGTTGTCCTCCCTTTAGTGTGGGCATCCGGCTGACAGCCGTGCCCACTGCGCATGCGTGAGAAGAGCTGTGCTTTGTGAATGGCCCGGTGTCTTCTGGGACCTGTCATGTCTCTCAGAAGATGACGGGCCATTCACAAAGCGCAGCGCTTTTCATGCATGCGCAGTGTGCACCCGGCTGTCACAGCCGGGTGCCCACACTAAAGATGCCGGCGCGGGAAGACTGTACAGCGCTGGACCAAGGAACAGGTAAGGTCCTGCTGCAGAGAAGAGCTGAGTGGCCGGCCCGGTATTCTGAGACGGTGGAAATACCGGACCAGCCGCTCCATATTCGCTCCATAAGACGCACTGACATTTTCCACACATTTTTGGAGGGAAAAAAAGTGCGTCTTATGGAGCGAAAAATACGATAAATAAAATGTGTGTGATGCAAACCATGTATAATGTCTGAACCTAGATGGCTCATCCTTTTGGAGAGATATGCAGATAAAGGCATGGTCAGGAGGTAGCACTGAGATCTCTGTGAGAGGTAGTAAATACCTAGACGTGTTAAATTTACACATTACTTTGCATGCATGCACTTAACATAAAAAACTATGATGATACAGTAGGTCCACTTTAAAGTGAAGTTTTTCTTCAACCACTTCACGTCTGAAGTATGTATATAAGTGTCCTATGTTTTTATGTTGGGATTGAGTACAGCAATGCTGGCCAATGGCACTTTAATGCAGCATGTTGTACTGCACCGCAATGCAGGTACATTGCCCGTTACTTTAACAGTGTTTTGTGCACCTTCAAAATTAATGGCATTTTAATGCACATATGTAAAGGCAGTCTAAAATTTTATATTAAACCCAATCACAAATCTCATACAATGGGGAAAATAATTATTTGCCAATGAACATCTAAATGATTCAGAGAAGGATTGGGAGAATGTGCTGTGGTCAGATGAGACCAAAATTTAGCTCTACAGCATTAACTCAACTTGCTATGTTTGGAGAAAGAAAAATGCTGACCATGACCCTAAGAACACCATCCCCTTCTGTCAAGCACAGAGGTGGAAACATTATGCTTTTGGGCTGTTTCTCTGCTAAAATTGCAGGGCAGCTTTTCTGCATTGAGGGGCCAGTGGATGGGGCCATGTATTGTAAAATCTTGGATGAGAGCCTTCTTCTCTCAGCCAGAACACTGAAGATGGGTCATGGAAGGGTCTTCCAGCATGACAATGACCCAAAACATACCACCAAGGCAACAAAGAAGTGGCTCAAGAAGAAGCACATTAAGGTCAAGAAGAGTGGATCCAAATCCCTCCTGAGATGTGTGCAAACCTGGTAACCAACTACAAGAAATGTCTTAGCTCTGTGCTTGCCAACAAGGGTTTCTCTAACAAGTACTAAGTCATGTTTTGCTTGGGGAATAAATACTTATTTTACTCACTGAACTGCAACTTAATTTATAACATTTGTAGCATGTGTTTTTTTTCTGGATTTTTGGTTGGTATTCTGTCTCTATCATTCAAAATACACCTATGATAAAAATTATAGACCCTTCATTTCTTTATAAGTGGGAAAACTTTCAAAATCTGCAGGGAATCAAATAATTATATTCCCCATTGTATTAGCCCTAACGTGTTAATGTATTTTCAAAATTAATTTATAATTAGAGATGAGCGAATTATTCAAAAATTCGGTTCGGCTGATTCGCCGAATTCGCGGAATAAATAATTTGCTTCGAGCCGAATATATTCGCTGCGAATTTAACTTATAAAAAGGGTGTTTCTAGGCTTCAGAGAGCCTTTATATTAGTGCAGAACACTGTACCTTTAATTTAAATGCCCTTGGAGTCTGCTGGGGAAGAGAAATAATACTGTCAGTCAGTATGACATGCAGATGAGTGCCGTTGATCTTAGAATCACCGCACACTTCACTCATTTGGGCAGTCACGGGGCCAAAACCAGAGTGTGGAGCCACAGTGTGGCGGTGGAGGCAGCAGCAATGGGAGGCCATACAGCACCCTATGACAAAATGGAACCCACCAGCAGTGTGAGGAGACCTGAAAGTGGCACATGGCAGAGTGTGGCGATGGAGACAGCAGCAATGGGAGGCCGTATAGGGACCCATGACACACTCTGGATCTGGCAGCAGCATGAGGAGGCGGTACAGGGGCCCATGACAGATTACGGGCCTGGCAGCAGCATGAGGAGTCGGTACGGGGGGGCCCATGGCAGATTACGGGCCTGGCAGCAGCATGAGGAGGCGGTACAGGGGCCCATGGCAGAGTGGCGGAGCGTAAGCAGCTAAAATTGAAGGCCATACAGAGGCCTATGTTAAAAAGTTCCCCCAGCAGCAGCGTGGGGAGACGACTATCAAGAGTCAATGGCAGAGTGGCGGAGCAGAAGCAGCTTCAATTGAAGGCCATACACAGGCCTAGGTTTAAATGCGCACAACACTGAACGTCCCAGCATTTGTCAACGATTTGCCGTTAAGTGATGCAAACCCGCTGAACCACGTTCATGAGGAGCCGGTACAGGGGGCCATGAATCAGTATGGACCTGGCAGCAGTGTGAGGAGACCCGAAAGTGGCACATGGTGCAGGGTGGCGGTGGAGGCAGCAGTATTCGGAAGACATACACAGGACTAGTTTAAAAAGCGGAAGCCGTCAGCAGCGTGAGCAGACGACAGAGGCACATGGCGCAGGGTGGCGGTGGAGGCAGCAGTATTCGGAAGCCATACACAGGCCTAGGTTAAAAAGCGGAAGCCGTCAGCAGCGTGAGCAGACGACAGAGGCACATGGCGCAGGGTGGCGGTGGAGGCAGCAGTATTCGGAAGCCATACACAGGCCTAGGTTTAAAACTGGAACCCAGCAGCGTGAGCAGACGACAAAGACGCACATGGCAGAGGATGGATCTGGCAGCAGTATGAGAAGGCGGTACAGGGGCCCGTGGCACAGTGTGGTGATGGGGGCTACAGCAACTGGATGCCAGAAAGTGGCCGATAGGGCTATATACTGCATGGAATTATAAAGTTGTAAAGACAGCGGCCTATAAGGCTATACACACTATAACAATCATGACTTGATTGACCATTGGCCTATAAGGCTATACACAGCATGAATATCATGACTTATTCTGAGAGTGGTTTTGGAAGGCTATATACAAAAAGTAATTCATGAGCTGTCCGGACAGCGGACAATAAGTACATATATACAAATCAATTCATCAGCTGTCCAGCCAGCGGCCTCAAAGGCGACACATATAGAAAGCAATTCATGAGCTGTTCAGACAGCGGCCTCTAAGGCGACAGATATACAAAGCAATTCCCGAGGTGTTCAGGGAGCGCCTGAACGGCTAGGTTTTATTACTAAATATATTTTTGTGGCCAAACATCGGCCTATAAATAGATGTCTACACAGTGACAAAAAATTATGTCGCCAGACAGCGGCCCCTAAGGCGACAGATATACAAAGCAATTCCCGCGAGGAGCGCACAGGGCCCACAGTGTCTGAGGATGGACGTTGGCCGCAGAAAGGCAGAGACCAACTGACTACATAGGTGTTTTTTATAGTACTTCATTTTGGCCCTCCCTCTCAGCAGGTGTGAAAAAGGCCACCATTTTTTGAACGGTGTAGCGAGGGTCCAACAAGGTGGACAGCCAAAAGTCATCCTCTGTCTGATGGTTATTATTCGGCTGTCGCTACGCAAGCAAAACCGAGCATGCTATGGGCCATTTGTGCCAAGGAATGCGAGGGACTTCCCTGCCTCCATCTCCACAGCATACTGCCACGGTGTGTCTGGGTCCTCTGTCTCCTCCTCCTCCTCTACCAAGATTGCTCCTGCTCCTCCACTCCTGTCCGCTGAGTGGAAAAAACCACCCATTTCACTCAATAATTCCTGAGCACCAATGTCCTCCTCTACTCCTCCTCTTCTTCCTGTCCTGCCCCCACAGGGGTCATGTGGCGTTGAGATCTGTGCGCCACGTCTACCGCACCCTGACCAGCCATTGTTAACAGCATTTGTTCCAGGACGTGCAACAGAGGAATGACGTCGTTCATCCCATAGTCCTGCCAAACTCACGAATAGCGTGGCCTCCTCAAAGGGCACTGAGGCAAGCGGCAGGTGTCACGCATGAGCTGACATCTAAGTTACACAGGGGAGTACCTTTATCCGCTTGTAAACATCAGGAAATCGGTGATGGCCTTTCGCTGTTCGTTAAAGGCGCGGTCTAAAATATGTAGGGTTGAATTCCACCTTGTTGCAACGTCGCAGATCAGGCGATGCTGTGGAATTCTGTTCTGCCGCTGCAGCTCAAGAGGGTGTGCTTTGCGGTGTAGGAATGGCTTAAATGCATGCAAAGTTTACGTGACATTTTAAGGATGTCTCTTGCAATGGGGATGGTGGATTTTAGGAACCGATTGACAACCAGATTTGAACACGTGAGCCGGCGCATGGCACAACCTCCCTCCTTGCGCAGAGCAGACACCATGTTCTTTTCGTTGTCGGTAAAATGGTTCCGATTTTCAGTTTGCGCGGGAGACAGCCATCTGTCGATTTCTCTGTTCATTACACTCAGAAGTTCCTCCCTGTGTGACTACGTTCGCCAAGGCATACCAGGTGTAGCACAAGCACAGCGTGACACCGTTGCGCCCTGAACATGTGATATGCCAGTCCGGGTAATGGGACTTGGCAGGGGGGTGCGGTGGCGGCTGAGGACACGGCGGGAAGAAGAGGGGTGGTAGAGGCGGACATCTTTGCTGGACCAAGGACGTGCAAACGTGGAGGCAAAAAAAACGGCGTGACCTGTCCAAGTTGCTCGGTGCGGCTGTGCAGGCACCACGTTCACCCAGTGGGGTAAATGAATGTACTGTCCACTGACCGTAGTTAAGCTCCACAGCACGTCGGCGCTGCCGTGCACTTTGGCAGAGAAGCCCGACCGGACATGCTCAAAGGACTGGCCCACCATCTCTTCTACATGTGAAGAATGCTGGGCTGGCACTGCCTTTTTGGGCGAAGAGAAATGCCGGTTGGCACTCTCCACCGCGGCTCGGCACAAGCCATCATTTCTCGGAGG